CTGGTGTACCACGACGGTTAATGAAATTCCTTAGGCAAATCAGAAACGCATCAGTAGACAGGTCTGCTGCGAGCTTAATGTGTACTGCTCTTACCGTCAGGCAGGTGAAGATAACACCCCATCGCTTCTCATGCCGGCGTCCAATCGTAACTGTTAGTGGCCCGAATAAATCTACGCCTGTGTAGGTAAAGGGGCGCACGTAGGGCGTAACGCGATCCTGCGGCAATGGACCCATCAATGGTGGCACCGGTTTAGCCCGATCGAGTTGACATATCCAACAATTCTTCTCTACTGTCTTCAGCACTGCACGCACATGAATTATCCAGAACCTTTAGCGCGACTCGTTAATTATTACTGCTCGATTTTGATGGAGATTTTTCTTGTGAAAATGTTGTATTATAAGAAACGAAATTGCGTGTTGCTGGGGTAAAAGAATTGGACGTCTGGCACTAAATGGCAAATATGTCGCTTCATCAATCCTTCCTTGCACTCGAATTAACCCATATTCTGCTAAATATGGCGACAGTGAGTACAACGGGATATCTTTTGTTACTCGTTGCTCCGATTTAAGCCTTTCGATTTCTTTGGAAAACCATTCTTGTTGTACAAAATGACAAATACATTTTTCGGCCGTGTCTACTTCCGCGGATGTTAACGACCCTCTCATCTGCTCGTGTGTTTGGTCGCTGTTCCGTGACCGCAATAAGAGGTTTTTAAAACGTAGCACCCAGGCAACGGTATTCTTGACTTTTATGTATGATGAAAACTTGTTATAGTCGACTAATCTGTTAGACGGCTTTTGAACTAACAGTTGTGGTTGTACTTCCTCTGCTGACGTGTCAGGTGACGACCCACTGTCGAATATTGGCCACGCCGTTTCTTCCTGTCTTAAAAAATCTGGTCCCTTTAACCATCGACTATTGCAATTAAATTTGGCTGGCGGTTTTGGACGAGTGGCATCATCCGCCACATTAAATTCTGTTGGGATCCAACGCCATTGTGACGGATTAGTAGTTCCTACGATTTCGGCAATTCTGTGTCCAACGACGGCCTTGTACTTTCTATTTGTTGACTGTATCCAGTGCCACACGGTTCTGGAATCGGTCCAAAAGGTTACACTCCTTATGATGACATCATGATTGTTGCAAATCATTTGGCTTAGACGCGTGCCTAGAACAGCGGCTTGTAATTCTAGTCTGGGAACTGACATCAGCCTTAAAGGCGCGTTAAGTGTTTTAGCGGCCACGAACGCGACATCCCATCCATCTCTAGTTGCAATGCGGAAATACCCAACTGCAGCAAATAACATCTGACTAGCATCCACAAACATGTGTAACTGTACGTTTCTGGCTGAGCCCATGAACGAAGAATATTGACGCGGCACTTTAACTTGCTTAAATTTGTGGAATCCGCGCCACCAAGTTACCCATTTGTCGTTTACCTCATCTGTGATTGCGTCGTCCCAATTGACGTTACTACGCCACACCTCTTGCATCAATATTTTGGAAGCTGCCGTAAGCTCAGAGAGCAGCCCGAATGGGTCAAAAACCGACATAATTATACCCAAGAACTCCCTCTTCGTTGGCACTCTAGTCATAGTTAGCACCTCCTGTGGGACTCGATGAAATTGAGTATGGAACTCAAACGTGTCATTGCGCACATTCGTAAACATCCCCAACACCCTTTCTGACATGGCTTGCTTTTCCATACTCACGTTGTCATATTTTGCGGCACCCTTCATTGCATGTTGCACTTGACCGGAGTTCGAAATGAAATTCCGTAACTCAAATCCGGCCTCCGCATGTATGGAGACGACTTCACGACAAGTTCTGATGGCTAGTTCGGGATCATCAGAGCTGCATACAAAGTCATCGACATAATGTCTCTCGACAATTGCGCTTACCGCCTCCGGAAACTGTTTCTCAAATCGAAGAGCGTTGTGGTTCTTGATGAACTCTGCACAACAGGGCGAACATGCGGCTCCGAAAATCATCGACGTCATGCAACACTGTTCTATAGCTATGCTCGAGTCTCTACGCCATAAAAATCGCTGCGCATTTTGGTCTTCCTTACGGATCTTAACTCGCGAAAACATTTCTTTTATATCAGCGGCCACACCAATACCGCCTTGACGAAACCGGAACAAAATGTTTTGAAGCGACTTTGCTTGTTCAGGCCCTTTTAGAAGACAGGAATTCAACGAAGTGTTTTGAACCTTCGCGGCAGCATCGAAGACGATTCTCAATTTGTCTGGTTTGTACGGACTGTGCACGGCAAAATGAGGAAGGTACCACATTGGCTGGCTGGTATCAGCTATCTCCTCGGCTGACAAAACTTTAGCATACCCTTTATCGAAATATTTTTCCATCTCTTGTCGGTATTTTTGTGCAAACTCAGTATCACCTTTCATCTTTCTTTCAATTCCGTATAGGCGTTTCACGCCAGCTTCGTAACTTTCAGGCAAATTTATTGTATCCCGACTCCATAACAAACCCGTTTTGTAAACCCTATCGCCCAACCTTGTCGTAGTTTGCATAATATTCCGAGCTCGCTTGAGATCTTCACTTTCAATTGACAGTTGAACTGGCCCCGTTCCGAATTTATCAGTGGCGAAATACTCATCAACTAATTGATGCAACTCTTTTAACGGATTAATTTCGTGGATATGCAAAACTACTGACAATGGCGTGCATGAAAATTTGGTAGGACCGTAGGCAATCCACCCCAGTTTTGTTTTTATGCCTATTGCCTGTCAAATGCGCGTGGTCCAAGCCGAGAACCTTAGCTGGTTGTACGTTGACGTACTCTTCGATCGGTAACAAATCAAAATAACTAAATTCGGATCTCTTAAAAGACTGTGTCGGCAAATTCAACTGCTTCACCGTGTGTACATTTTTCATAGTGAACCTCTCCTTGTCACTACGATTTTCTATTTCTACGTTAACCTTGCGTGATTGTTCAGTCTTAATTTTTTCGTCGTACCACTGAAGGGTTAAGGTGTGTGCCTGTCCCTTTAGCCCCAATTTGTTAGCCACACCTTCGTCTATCATTGATATGGTCGATCCCTCATCCACCATGGTAAAAATTTCTAGCTTCCCATTTGGCCCATACACATTGACTTTAAATAGGTGGCTAGAGTTCACGTTGGGTGTCGAGCAATTTAAAACTGGCTGTGCTAATTCACTTGGTGGCGTTTGTTCCACCCTAACCTCATGTAGACTGGCATGATGAAAACGTCGACACTCACCAACCCCACACGGTTTCTTCGATTGACAGCTTGATACATTATGACCTTTGCGTAGGCAAGCAAAGCATAACTTCTCTTTCTTGATTAT